ATAAAGTTCAGAACCCAATTTCTCCCTGTAGTTCAAATTTTGTAGACAGTGTTTATTAAGCTATAATGTGCTAATGTTTAAAAAAAAAAGTTTTAGCCTACTATTTAACATGAAAAATCAATTTGTATCTTAGCATATATTACTAATGCACTTATGTGCATGCATATGTGTAATCCTATATTTAAAATTAAGCTTTTTAAAAAGGGAAAAACAATTTTCATCTAATAAACAAAAACAAAATGTAAAATAAACTTTAATTAAAAAACTGCTTACAAAAAGTGTTACTAGGTCATTTTCCCGAGTCATTGTTTTTTTAATTTATAAATTAAGTAAAATGCGTAAATTCCATAATATAATCAATCATACTATGGTTTTTTGATAGGACTCGACTACTATATTGATTTTTTTTTCTGGTACCATATCTTCATTCACAACAATGGTTAAAATATCCTATTAGTGAATGTTTTTATCACATTTGTAGGTTTTTTTTTTTATCATTTTTGTGGTACCTAAAAAAATAGTAAAAATAATTATCACAACAGTGGTTAAAATATCCACAAATGTGATAAATCACCCACAACAGTAATAATTTTTTTTGTATCGAATAAAAATGGTAAAAGTAGTTGTTATAAAAGTGATAAATAGAGGTGACAATCTTAATCCATTACCCATTAATCTGCTCAACCCGTCCTTAAATAAATGAGTTGTGTACCTATATTAATTAATATGAGTTCTAAATGAGTGGGGTAATATGATTCATTTTAATTAAGTGAGTTAATATGGATTATAAATGGGTACTCATTGGGTTAAATATTTATCTTTTTATTAAATAACACAAGTAATAAAATTAAATAAATATACTAATATACCAAAAAATACTCACACACTATGACACCAAAAAATACACACATATACACTAATACTGCAAAACATACACTAGTACACCAAAAACACACACACTGATACACCACCAATGACCTGCGGGTTGACCCATGGCCCACGAACTAACCCATAGCTCACAATCGACCCTGACCTATTATGTGTGTATTTTTTTTATTAAATGTATTTTAATTTTTGTGTTAGTATATGTGTGTGTATTTTTGGTATATTAATGTGTATTTTAGTGTATTAGTGTGTATATTTTTAGTGTATTAGTTTGTGTGTTTTGGTGTATTAGTGTGTGTATATGTTTGTATATTGGTGTACTACTAATGTGTGTGTGTGTGTGTTTTGGTGTATTAATGTGTCTATTAAGAATCTTAATTATTTTAAGAGTTAATCAGTTTAACTCAACCCATTATAAACCTAATCCAATATAAGTTATTTACTACGTGAGTGAAAAATAGATTGCATTTATTTAAACCCAATCCAATTTAACTCAACCCATCCATTTGCCATCTTTAGATAAAAATAATCACAATATTGGTAAATTATTCACAAAAATAATATATTTTTGATTGTAAAATTACATATAAAAATACCTACTAAAATAATAAAAGTCAAAGTACAGTACCAAAATTCTTTCTTAGTTACCGTAATTGAGTCCTTTTTTATAACGTCCAAAAGCTTCTGATAGAATCAAAGTCTACCAGAGAATGATAGAGGCGTTGTCAAAGGCCTTTCCCGATTTCCTCTTTGATCTATCAAAATAGTGAATTTTTCCACCATCATCGCCGACATCGTTATCGTCATCGTCATCATGGTCATCGTCATACTAATCATAATTAGCCACCATAAAACCAACTTCATGTTGCTACACACATGGGTTCCAACTTCCAACTAAAAGGAATTGACAGTGAATATACATGGATGCCATACCTTTCCTTCTTTGACAGTAGCGAATACAACCCAAACTCATAGTTTTTTAGGGCTTGGTCCTGTCCATGACTGCTGAATGGAAGCCGTAACCAACATTTTTTTGTCGTGAATCTAATTTGAAAACTTCCTACGTTTTAATTATTTGATTGTTAGTGAACTTCGTATTCTTTTGACTAATTAACATCTACAGGAACCAGTGAGTACAGTAATGAAGCATAGTCACACCTATGTATATTTATTGCACCAAAAAATAAGGTGATCAGATAATTGGGGCATGTAAATTAATCAAACTGGTCTGCATCAGATTGTTCGGACTTGGCCCGAGTTGTGATGAGAATAAATTATTCTTTTCAAAATTTGCTCGTTAATTTTTAATTCAAGTTCAAACTCATCTCTTCTTATCAAATAAAACAAGTTTGAGCTTGCATTTGAGTTTAAACTTGTGTGCAAGATGAAATTTGACATGTTTATATTTGTATAGGTAATGCGTGCATAATATGGTGGATACGATATATATTATATTACTCCTTAAATATCAAGTATTATTCATGTAAATACTTGACTTTAATGAGCCAAATAAATCATTGCTTGAACTCAACTCATTTGCTAAACAAACTTCGACCTCAATTTGATTGATAAATGAATAAATTTAACTGAACTTCTATAAATTTATTAAATAAAAATATACTCTAAAAGTTTAAGTTATTAGAGATAGTATAATTTAAATATTTATACTTCAACACGCGTCCTCATGTGGAGACTAGATTATGAAGCCTGACACGTGAATTTATTTTTAATAATTATCTCCTGGTGATGCACAAAATTGGATTTATGTGCAATCAAATCAGTCAAGTGTAGGATGCAAGTAATTAATGAAAATAAAAGACAATGATTAAGTAGTTGGGTTCGGGTGACTTAACCACTGAAAGCAGCGATGGTAGCCGAAAAACTTTATTAATTATAGAATAAAGTAATAGGTGAGAGAGAGCATGAGCAAGCTCAAGGTGTGGTGAGAGAGGGAGCAAAAGTACACTTTAGGTGATGTGTGTGTGATCTTTGTGTGAGAGATACTTGTTTCTCTCTCATGTGTAAAGGGCTTACAATTCATAAGCATAGAGCCCTAACTGAAGCGGCGATGTGAAGGTCAGACTACTAGTCTTTCGGGGAGCATAGCTACAATTAAGGATATGTGCTATCTTCGAGTAATTGCTATCTTGATATTTACTTTCCACATGCGTTGATCTTCCTAGACTCTTGACCTTTGGATTAGATTGAGGTAATTAGTTGAGCTTGACCTACCTTTTGATGATTTGAGCTCAACCCATAAACTAGGCTCAGATTTGGTCTAAATCTAGGCTCGTCATTTGTCCCCCATGCCCCAAACCTTAGTAGTGATACGAGGTTTGAGGGCATGAGTGAGCTCCTTCATTTGGGTAGACCAATGTACCTTGTTCCACACGGTGGCTTCTTCTGTTCAACTTTCCTCTCCATTGCATTTTTGAAGCTTATTTCCTCGTTTGGTAGCCCACAAGCAATAGAAGATGAAGAAAGACATGGACACTTATGCGTGAGGAGATGAAGATGCTTTGGCGAGTGGCACCTTGGAAAGGGAGAAGGGGCACCATGGAGATGAACTAGGGCGATGTCATAGATGATCCCATGGTTGATAGATCAATGGTGTAGGCTCTCTATTTAACTAGGATGGCAACTTCCTCTCATCCCAAGAAAGCAAGATCTGATGGCCCCAGCGCTTTCCAACTTAGGTCAATGGCCTTACTATTTATCAGAAAGTGGGGTCTGATAGTGTCTCCGCTTCTTCTCAGCATGTGACCTTTTGAGTCCTAGGGTTAGTTGTAGGACTACTTTAGAGATTGAGACTCCTACACAAACTTCACTAAGACCAGAGCTCTGTATAATTGTCCTGCAGTAATGGACCGGTGTCTATGCTGCAGGATGTGAATTTTGCCAAGGAGCATCTTTGGAGGTTTATGACACCCTCGGATATTAGAGAGATCGACTCTTTGGGTCATGAGAGTATCATCGATAGCGCAATGAAGGGCTTTGCTATGGTACCCCCCTTTTTTTTTTCCCTGTGCAACCTTTTCTTCTGCATGGTTTGGTTATACTAACATTCTTACTTTTTGGATATTCGCAGATGGCTGCGACTTTTACATGCTTTTGAGGACGTTCAAACTTGATGAGGTGTCGAGAGCTTTTGGCAAAAGAGAGATAGGCATCAGGCTGTTGAGGAGCAGTTAAGATTGACTCATGAGAGAACAACACCTCTTGAGGCCAAGCTTTTTGAGACCGAGGTTGCTTTCATGAGAGTAAAGGTAGAGTGAGGCCAAGCTTCTGGGAGACCGAGGCTACTTGTGTGAAAGCAGAGGTAGAGTGAGAGTGAGGCCAAGCTTCTAGCAACTCATGACAGAGACACTAAACTGCAGACATAGGCTGCTTGTATGAGAGTAGAGACAGAGTGAGGTTGATCTTTTACCGACTTGTGAAAGAGGCGCTAAGTTGGAGACATGCTTCTTAAGAACAAAAGTAGAGTGAGGCCAACCTTTTGGCGACTAGTGAGAAAGGCGCTAAGTTGGAGACATAGGTTGCTTAAGAGTAGAAGCAGGATTAGGCCAAACTTTCTGACGACACGTGAGAGAGCCACTAAGCTAGAGAATGAGACTGCTTGCATGAGATCAGAGGCAGAATGAGGCAAAGTTTTTGGCGAATCGTGAGAGAGCTGTTAAGATGGACACATAGGCTGTTGAGTGCATCTAGCAACTTGTAAGAGAGGCGTTATGTTGGAGACATAGGCTACTTGAGAGCAGAGGTAGGAGTAGGCCGAGCATGAATCGGGAGGCTTTCTCCTAAGTGGTGAATAGTAGGAGAGAGAGGGCAATGAGGGTACCTAGAGGGCATCGGTAGGATAGAGCCAGCAAGCATGTGCGTCGATCATGGGAGGCGAGGCTCCCTGAGATGCCAAGAAGGGTGACGTCTTCCACAAGAGGCACTACTGGACAAGATGGGTATGCGATACGGCGGTGTGCCCAGACAGGTGTCTTGGCAGGTGTCAAGGCAGACAAGGTAAGGGTATTATCCTTAGGGCTTCAAAGGTTAGTATATGTGGATTTGGCTTATTCCTTTATTATCTTTTCCATTCCATAAGCCATTGAGGGAGGTTGCAGGAGGGGAGCGTGAAGGCAAGTGGGAGGATGACAGAATCGATGACTGATGTCATAGGTGATGGTGCCAGAAAGGGTTGAGTGACGCAAGAATAAAGGCTTGCAGGGCGTTGGTCGCTGTGAACTACTAGATGGCGCAGGTAGGGCTAGAGCTTGCCAGGGCGACGCTCATGGTAGGGCAGGCTTTGGCGCCAATGGAGTTAGGGCTGGTCTGGGCGACGATAAGCAGCTGGGCAGTGACGTCACACCAACTCCAGGGTAGCATTAGGCAACGCCAGAACACGTTGGTCGATGCCTAGAGGGTTCGGGGATGCTCTGGACTCTAGGGACGCGCTGGGCAATGCTTGGGATGGGCAAGGCGCTAGGGAAGCACTAGGAGATGCCAAGCGAGGCAGGTTGGACAAGGTAGGATGGGCAACGCCTGGTAGGCGTAGAGTTACAGGAGGCATGCTGGTGGTGCCAGGCTGGGCACTAGTGCTGCGGTACGGGTGATGGGCGCCTTGATATTGGGGCGCCGGGTGGAGTATTAGAAAATCATAAAGAAACGCTAGAACTTTGAATGACCATAACTTTACACTCGATTGTCTGTTTGAGGCGAATATTTTTTGAATCCGTGTATTTTTTCAAGATCTCCAACAATCAGACAGCCTATGGTTGTTTGAGAACCACATTTTCTTCAAAAAATGCTTGTTTCTCATTGAATTCGAATTTTAACCATAAATTAATGTAGAAGTAGAATTTTTTCATGTTTACTTTTTGTTGGTGGTTGCGGGACCTCGTCATGATGTGGTGGGTCATTTTCTGCTTGGTAGTTTGTGGATCTGGTTGTAGTTGTTATTTAAGGAACAAAGACTGTAAGGTGGAAATCGAATCGTTCCCATAGACGACGTTAAACTGATGATGCGAAAAATTAGATTTATGCGCAATCAAGTCAGTCAAGTGTAGGATGCAAGTAATTAATGAAGCAATTAATAATAAGAGACAAAAATTGAGTGGTTGAGTTTGGGTGACCTAACCATTAAAGGAAGCGACAATGGACAGAGAATTTTATTAATGATAGAATAAAGTAGTACGTGAGAGGCAACATGAACAAGCTCAAGGTGTGGTGTGAGAGAGAGAGCAAGAGTATGCTAAAGGTGATGTGCGTGTGATCTCTGTGTGAGTGATAGTTGTCTCTCCCTCATGTGTAAAAAGGTTACAATTTATAGGCACAGAGCCCAAACTGAGACGGTGACGTGAAGGTCAGGCTACTAGTCTTTCAAGGATGATAGCTATAATTAAAGATAAGTGCTAGCTTCGAGTAATGTCTATCCCGATGTTTATACCTCACGTGCGTTGATCCTCCTAAACTCTTGACTTTTGGATTAGACTAAGGTCATTAGTTGAACTTGACTTACCTTTTGATGATTTGCGCTCAACCTATGAATTGGGTCTAGACCTAGTCTAAATCTAGGCTCGTCATCTCCTGTTATGATATTATGTTAAACAACTATATACTCCCAAAGTTGAAGTTGTTAGAAAGATTGTAATTTAAATATTTATATTTCAACATTTCATAAACAATTTGGTTAGGTTAGCTCCCCCCCCCCCCCCGCCGAAAAAAAAATGACTCACTTTTGCATTTTATTGTTTTTTGTTTTTGTTTTTTTTGCTACAAAGTATTTACTGACTACTCATTCGAACTTGAATACTAATCACCGTAGGCTGAACGAGTTTAAAACATATACCAAGAAGAGTGCTCGACTCTAAAAAGTATAAAAAATGTTGAACCGGGATCTCTAAATTATCATATACCCAAGGTGTTACTTTTGCATTCATTATTTGTTTATCCCATCAAATGGCTACTATTTAAAATGGTACAAAACTGTGTGGAGCACGATGAGACGCAACGCTGCAGAAGGGTCTGATCAGGTGAAAGTTTTTACCATAGAAATAGGGACAAAAATTAGACCAGGACCACTGAGCTCCATGACTAGTCTAAATCCAACTCACAATGCGAAAAACATCGAGTTACCAACAAAGACGACACTTAAGGTGGCACCCAATTAAGGAAATCTTTCTAGATATTGTGTGACAGTTGTGAAAGGAACAAGACAAAACCTCCCACCAGGAGAGAGAGAGATGATGATGATGGCTGAACATATCAAGCAATACATGCGGTTGGCTTTTGCTCAATCCTGGAAATTAAAGTCGGGATATTTAATTTGTTCAATTCATACCTCCCTTGGGTCTACAAAAAGAGCTCTTGTTGCTTGTGGGGTTCTTGTCAATTCATAGAGGCTGTTCCTCTCACTGTTTTTCAAGGCTTTTATGCACCACAAGTCCTCCGGACATGAGAGTAACTTCCAATGCGGGATGTGAAGTTTCACGGCGTCGCCGCCACCGACCTCCGTGACCACCACCTTGCAGTCCTTACAATTTGAAGCCATGTTGTGAACAAATTTGCAAAGAGTCCAAACCAACTTGCCCGAAAATGGACCCTCTCGATGCAATCCATACATGAAGTAAAATCCAAAAGGGTGGAAAAAATCTGGCAGAGAAAACATTTTCAAGCAAGGAAATGCCTTGTGGATCAATCTCGAACACTTGGCATATAAAAGGCAAGTTAAGGGTGCTTTGCCTATTCTTAGCTTGAACAGTTCTCCACTGTTCCAAACACTAAGCATTGCCCAGCTGTTTGGAACTCTACCATCTGATCCAAATTCACCTGATGATAATTCACCTCGAGGATAGGCCACCCATGTGCCCAAACTTAGCTTGTTTCTGAGTATTTTGTCAATATCATTGGGAAAAAACTCGGTTGAACCCATGAATTTTCTATACAGAAACTCAGCTTGTTCTACCTTGAGCTTAGTAATTTCGATGTTATATGAGATTTGGAACGAGGGACTGTTGACAGGATGTACGAGGATTGCCGGAGTTCTGAAGTTGACGTACCCGAGCTTGTCCACAAAAAGCTTCACGGAGGCTTGATTATTTTTCTCGGTGGCCATGTAGGCATAATCAACTTGGTTGGCAATGAACCATTGTTCTAAATGGTGCACTAGGGTTGAGCCAATCCCTTGTCTCCGGTGAAGGGGCGAGACCCTTAGGCCTAAGATATAACCCACCTTGGCTTGGTCCTTTGGGGGTTTTCGAACAGTGGCAACCTTTATAGAGCCTTGAATGACACCAACTAGTTCATTGTTGGACTCAGCTACCTAACAAAAGAGTTTTTAAGTTTGTGTTGATAAGACATCCATGTAAACAAGAAGGTAATGTAAGAGTGAAAAAAAATGGGAGAGAGAGAGAGAGAGAAGAAATGGGATTTAGTGGTACCAGCATCTTATACATCGGACTGTTTCGGATTCTACAGATGGGGTCACCCATAGTATCCGTGAAGAGAAAAACATGCTCGGCTGGCCCTACCTCACACCTTCTTTCAAGATCTTCCACTCGAGTTCTATCAATTTGCCCATTGTAGCTTCTTACCTTAATCTCTCCAAATGCCATTTTTCTACAAAATATTTGCACCCAAAACACCAGGAACAATAAAGGGTTCTTGACTTATAGTGCTAGGTTAGTGAAAGAGTGATTGGAACAACGCAATGTTTTATAGGACAGAGAAATGAAGGCATGTATAGAAGGCTGCAGGGGTATTATAGAGCTGCTTTAAAAACTGTTGGAGAGAGAAAATGTTATGGAATTCATATTGGGGGGTCATGGTTTATATATAAGGTGGGAATTGGGAAATGTTTCTCTCAAATCATCAACATCAACCTAAACCTCAACAATGATAGTAGACAAAAGGTGAATAAGTGTAGAATGTGTTTTTTGTCTTTAGCTTTTGCCATTGAACTTAATTAGACTATCCACATTAGGATAACCTCACGCTCACGCCAGGGTGCACGCCTAAGCATGTGTTGGTGGCCGACCTCCATTCGGTTTTACCCATATTAATCAACCCATTATTCAACAAACCTACTTGCTCTCTATGGCTGATATCATTTCGTGTAATGTACATACCACTATACTTGGGCAACTTTAGACACCATATGCAAAGCTACACAAAATTGTTGAGAAAATAGCGGGTTAAGTTTAATCATAATTGATTCGGGTGGTAAATAATTGAACTTGTTAGATATGCCAAATAAATAGATCTATACGAACCGTGTAATCACGACATATATAAGTTTAGATCTGAGTCGATCTGAATTTGATCAAACATGATTAGAAGTAGTTGAAGAATAAATTTAACAAATTTTAACACAACAAAACTTATATACAAGACAACCCTTTGACAGTGCTAACCCCGCCAACCCCATAAAATCCCCTTCCATACAATTCTCAAAGTACCTAAGTATCTTAGAATCGGACCCAAGTTTTTTAATTACTAGGAAGGGATTAACATGTGGTGGCACTAGAGGATGTGATCCAGGGGCGGAGTCATCCTTGGACCAGGGTGGACATGTACCCACCTCAAATTTTTTTTTTTTGACATTAAATATATTTTTTAAAATAAAATTTAGATATATTTAATTGTGCTTACCCTCAATTTTTTTTTTTACATTAGATATATACATTTTAAAACAAAATTTAGACATATTAAATTGTGTCTACCTTATTATTGTGTTATTGTGATATCGATTAAGATAGACGGTTACTTAAATAGTAATTAATTTTTAAATAATGTTATTGAAACTAATACATTTTAATATTAAATCTAGTAGTGAGTTCCTACACTTAATAACGTCTACTATCCATCAAATGATTATAAATTATTGAGTTCCTACCAATTAAATTTTGAATTTTTTTTGGGTTCAGATATAAAATTAAATTTCGAATTAGATGCAATTACTATTATTCTTAAATTTTTAGACACATACATGTTCGAATAATTATTAGACATATTGTGGTCATTTTTCCAAATTATAGGATTATTTTGTTATTGTATAAAAATGAGTGTCATTATGTAATAAATTACAGGGTAATAAATAAAAGACTGTTATTACCATTTTGTATATAAAAAAATATATTTATTGATATTATTAATTTGTAATTCTTTTAAATGATAAACAATAATCAGATTCAATTGTAAAATGATAATAATTAATCTCATACGAAGTTTTAATTAATTTACTTTTATTTTTTGTTTGTTCATTCCATGCAAATAATTTTTGTAACTTTTTTATGTTTAATGAATTTTTACGCATAATTATAGTAAATATGAATATATGAACTTTTGTGGTCAATTGAATAAAAAAATGAAAAATGCTATTTAGATCTAATTTGATGACATAATTCAATCCACCCATTTGATTGAAAGTAAATATCATCTAACATTGAAATTTACGATTAAAAAAATAGTTACATTAAGTCTATAACATTGATACAAAAAATTAAAATTTATTAATTTGTCCACTCTAAAATATTTTTCTGGCACCGCCCCTGATGTGATCTACGGCTAGATTGCGTTGACGGGCTACGACTACGAGTGCGCCATATAGCTAGCCTAAGGTACCATCAACATATTATACATCAGGTGCTGTAAGATTAAATTAATGAGATTTTTACAAGCCATTTTTCTTCCTCTCCACCTCCACCACCACTTTTATTTGTTTCTTCTGTTATCTAGAAAAAAAGGGTCATGGTGCGATTAAATTAATGAGCTTAAGTTTGTTAGTTTGAGCTTAATTATTTTGTTAGAGGAGAAGTCGTTTTCAGTTAACACTGATCTTTTCATTTGTACTATTTCATGGTTCCTTGTGTGTAGGCTTTGTGGCTTTGGTTGGTCCCCCATCTTAAACACTTAGATTCGAAAGTGAAAGCGAAACTCCATTATAACCATCTTTCGCTTTCATGCTAGATAACAAAATAAAAAATCGAAGGTAATCATGCTAGAGTCTCATGTTGAAGTTAGTTGATCATTGAATAAGTAAGAAAATCATCATAACATCCGCAATGCTAATTCAAATTACTCTCGGTTCAGTCAATCTGAAAGTTAAGATTTATAAAACATGGTGGAACGTAAGTAATTATTTATAATTTTTCATTTCATCTATATTACTTTTGAATGGTGATATTATAACAATCATTAATTAAACTGAAAGCTTAACTTGCGATTTTATTTTATGATTATCAAAAGAATTAAAACTTAGAATCTTCTCGAGTTGCAAATCAAACAAAAACTCTAGCTATTTATAAAGTATCTGCACCATCGATAGTTCATCATCATCTCAAAAACATACAAATGGCTCTCGAAACCCCAACTGTCTCTATCTTCCCTTTCTCTTTGCACTTTAACCTACTTAGTTCCAACTACCTCCCTTCTATTCAATAATCAAACACACAAGCCATTATGATTAAAATTAAACAAAATATACGCGCACCACACGCGCCGCTAATCAATCACATTGCACACGTGTCCCAATGTCTATCTAGGTGCACCCACCACTAGCATCAAGAGTGAGATGTTTGCTAGACACATTTACTAATGGGGGGCCCTTGATTAATGATTTGAGCTCCCCAAGTGCTCCAAGAAGTGTACAATCTGTCTTCTTTGTGTTTTCTTTGCATGCATTATGTTGTCTGCATGCTTTTTTTGGATGATACTTTGGAGCTTATATAATACATCCATGAGTAGTGGGACCCAAAACTTTTTGTGGGTAGAGGTGGGTCCGACCCAAAAACACTGGGTGGGGGTAATGGGAAAGTTTAATTGGGTGGACTTTATTGATTGGCTTGGTTTGGTTCCATGTTTCTTCTCTTCTGCTTTCATGTCTAAACTTATCCTCATAAGTACTGTTCTAAGATTGAGTACTTCATAGTATTGCTTCAAATGAGTCATCCTTTCAATCATCTCTCTTCTAATTTCTTTCACGTTCCACTTTGCAGATCCAAATTAAATGCAAAATTCTAAACACATACACACTTGGATTAAAATTGAAGACATCGATAAACGAGGCGGAAATATGGATCTTGGAATTCTCAAGGGTGAGTCCGATTGGCTTAGACAACGCAAATCATGTCACAGATCTGGGTTTGATCTTCACTCTCCCATTGCCTCCATATATTACGGAAGTTCCAACCTAAAAAACAAAAAGTTGATCTTAAAATTGTCATGGCCGTGATTTCAGTAGTGGATACTGCTACCCTATTATAATGTCCTTGATCTAAAGTTTTTGTACCAACTGTCCTAATGTGGTGCATCTAGATCATTAGGCCCTTTCATTTTTTCCTATTTTGAGTAAGCAGATCATATATATGATAATGGAAGGATATGTAGTTCAACCAACTCAGCTAAACAAATAGATGTGTGTGTGGATAGGTTGGTGGATGTGGAGCTGAAGACATCATTCATTGGGGCAACATTATTGATGTAACAAAGTAGAAGACTAAAAGAAGACGAAACTTCGTGGTTATTTACGATTTAGGCAGCCACGTGGAAATGACCCCGAAGAGCAATGCTTTGTTTAGCTAAATAGATGAAAACAACACACACTATATAAATAAATTAGTTATTGTTAAAAAAATTGTCAATCATGAATATATTTGTATTCACATTCAAAATCAAATCACAAACATAGGTGAGAGAGAAAAGAATTTAATCACCGGTTGTAGTGAGGGTGAGCAGTGATAGTGGTGGTGGGCGGCAATGGTGGTGGTAAGAGACAGTGATGGTAGTGGTAGACAGTGATGACCATAATGATGGTGACAGTCGTGGATGGTAACGGTGATGGTAGTAGTGGTTTTTTGGTGGTGATGATAGTTGTGGTTGATAAAGATAAGAAGGCAGAATAGATTGGCATGGAATTGATTCAGATAGATTAGATTTGGTAGTGTGATATGATAGATTAGATAGTGTGATATGAAACATAAATTGCCTCTAATCAAGAGATTAGATCATGCTTATCATTGTACGCATCTTCCTATAAACAAATAGCAAGAGGTTGTGGAGAATATCCAACAAACTCATTTTCGCTATAATCTTTATCATGGTATCAGAGTCATTGGTCTCTTGAGACCAATTACCATTAAAAAAAAAATAAAGTGAGGAACGATGTCAACCATTGATACATCAGCCACTGGTGCCATTGGAATTCAGTAACGTTTCTGGCTCCATCTCCATCTCTCCACCCTCACTTTCTTTATCTGCCATCACAAATCCAATATCCATTCCCTCATCTCTGTTGGAAAAAATGATTTTAAACAAATTTATTTGAGCAATTTAAGGCTTAAATAAAAGTTAGACCCACACATCGTAATTAGTGAGACCAAGTTTAAACGTGTTCTCTTCTGTGAGGAGATTAACGTGATATATTTATTTGTCCAAAACCATTGAGATTTGAATGAGAAATTACGTCTCAAAATGACATATTTGAAGTGATAAAATAAACTAAGATTGGTGCAGTAAAATAAGGTTTGTCCCACATTGAAAAAAGAGCAACACTTTAGTGAGTTAATATACTCCTAGTTGGCTTTTTGGGTTTGGGTCACAAGAGGTACCACACTTTTGTGAGCAAGCGAGCACCAACACTACCTTGGTTATCACACACACGTGTGCACGCACGCCACCCGTTACTCACGAACCAGCTGGGCTTGGGCTATAATTTTTTTGGAGAAAAATTATTTGGAGCGGTGTGGGTCATGTATCAAATCAATCAGATCCAACCGTGGATCAAAATTAAAAACCCAACTAAAATTTAAAATCTAAACCAGATTTCAAAAGTTATTCCCGTTATTTTTGAACTTGACGCCAAAAAAGGGTCTGGATTCATTCCAGAGAGCTTGTTCATTCCAAGAGGTACCTGTTCAAATTAAAAAGTGTGTCTCTTCAATTTGAATAGTGGCAACCTATGCCTTTTCAGGCAATCTGAACAGTCACCAAGAGTCTATAAATAGACTGACCATTTGCCATTTCATTCCATCCCATTATGGATTCCAATTTCAGAATTCTTCTTCTTCTTCTGTGTGTGTGTACACATTGTTGCATTTTTTATTTGGTTTGGTTCAAGTATAAACATAAGTTGTATTCACTGGAATCTTGAAGATTGAAGTACTGTTTCTTCAAGAAAAAAAATCCGTTTTATTTTGAGAGACAGTTGCTCATTTACCTTGAGCATTGAGAGGGGGGCAATATGTCTTTAGGAGATTGTGATTTTACAAGGCTTGGATAAAAGTTCTGATTGTTCTTATTTATTATTCATGCTAATATGCATCCCTGTAAATGTACTGTTTGATTATAGTATGTCTAAATTAGTACATAATTTAGGTTTCATATAGTTTAATATAATTTAATTATATACACATTGTCTGTTACAGCCTCTACTAACTACCTACTTTGGAAGAACCAGTTCCTTCCTATCCTTCACAGCCACAAACTGTTGGACTTTGTTGAAGGCAAAGTTCCTCGGCCACCAGTAATTCTCATGGAACAAAACCAACAAGTTCCTAATCCTAAATATGATACTTGGGTCATAACAGATCAAAATCTTCTTAGTTGGACCAATGCCACACTAACTTAAGAACTCATGGGCTAAAGTTGTTGGGTTGGAAACTTCCTATGATACATGAAAATTTCTTCTCGATACATATCAACAACGTTCTCAAGCTCGAATACACTCGATTCGACATCAACTTAACATCGTCAAAGAGGGTACTTCACCCATTTTTGATTATGTTTGTCGCCTCAAAGGGATGTTCAACACCTTGCTACCATTGGCACGCCATTATCCGATGTCGACAAGGTACATTATGTTCTTGCTGGCTTGGGTTCTTAGTATATCACCTTTGCTACCACAATCCTCGCAAGACCACCATTTCCTTTATATGATGAATTGATTTCCAGCCTCATTAGTGAAGAAATGAGATTTCAGTCTTATTCCCATAACGACATGGAAATTGCTTTTACTATTCAAAACAATTTCTCACCCAAGAAAAATTTCCACAAAGGAAAGGAATCTTGAGGGTATCATCCTAACTCTGCTAGTGGCTCACGCCAGACTGCCTCCATCCTTGTCCAACCTCTCAACGGCAACAACCCTCCATCTTCACAGTTCTTTCACCCTTCCAAAAAAGAGTTCTTGAATCTTACCAATTCTTCTACTTTGGTTCCAGAATTTCAAATATGCAGGAAAAGGGGTCATAATGCACTTGAATGTTGGCATCGCTACAATCATACTTATCAGTCCCGTAATATCCCGTCTTCACTTTGCCTCTCTTGTTAGCAGACTCCAATTATCCAAATTGGTATCTCGATAGTGGAGCTACATCGCATATCACTAGAAATTTAGGTATTTTATTACCCTTCATCCTTGTTAGTCTAACGAGAAGGTTTTTATTGGAAATGGAGCCACTTTACATGCTACTCACAAAGGTGGCAGGGCTCCTCTGTAGTTAAGGTCTAACAACCAACTTTTCTATTAAATGGAATGGTGACGTTTTGGCCAAGACTCCAGCACCCAGCAAATACACAAAACGATGTTGTCCAATTTGTGCCCATTTCAGCCCAAAAACATCATCGTCTTCTAGTGTCTTCCAACTGTGCAGAACAAAACGCAAAAATAACACATACCGGCAACCAAGAATAGGCTGTGCAGCTTCGTTCATCTTCGTCACTGCGATCACAATCATCTTCGAGCAATCACTCCCCAAATTGAAGCCCTAACATCGATGTAAGTTTTGAAATTCGAGATTAAATTTGAGTAATCATTCCCCAAAACTTGATTATATAACCTAAATGAGTTAGTGTAAATGCTATGGTTCTCTATGCTATGTTGATGTACTGATTTGTCGGCTAGATGGTTATCATCTGATTTTCTTGTTACTTGGGCATTCTTTTTCTTTGATTTTTTTATCTCATCTTTTATGAGTGCAGGCTTAGCTTTGAGCAGTGATAAATATATTTTTTTATTACAACTTGAATGTACAAAGTTACATCCATCTATAGCATCCATCTCTTGCAATCTGTAACTCAGAAAGAAGGGGATAATGAGTTAAACTAGAGGATACATTGGTGTCATTGGAAATATTGTAGGTTTACAGTATATATGGGACATTTTGACTCGAAAGATACAGGAAATCAGCATGAGGCTTCTGCAGTTCTCTTGTCAATTACCATCTCCTTATTAGGCTAAAGGTTAACTTCTAAAATAGAATAAAAATGTTATTTTGTAGCACATTGCAGATCTTTATGCAAATTGTTCAATTTTGAATGAGTAAATAAGTTTTCTATTTTGGAAAATTTTATATTAGAACACAATCCTTGAATTCTTTATTAAGTTGACATCTACTTGAATTGCAGCTCGATATGCTACAAGAAGAGAACGAGAATATTTTTGAGTCACTGTATTAAAGTTTATTTGTCATTTTAAATTGTAAATTCAATACGCAGCCTGCTATTTGCTGAAGTTTCTTTTTTGCGCATGAATTCCTTTGCAGGGATTTGAAATGGGTTTAAGCTAATTTATGTAGAAGTTTAAGTTGGAGTGACATTTCATTGTTGGGTTTAAGCCAATTTGTGTAGCAGTGTTTGAAAGAGTACAAGGTGAAACTAGACAAGGGTCTGAGCTCTTATGATGTCGAGAAGAGGCGGGAGAGATATGGTTGGAATGAGCTTAAGAAAGAAAAGTTTATTAACAAAGTTTCGGCTGACAGCTTTCTACATGCAGTCAGTTGCTTTTGCCAAGTTAGCCATGCACCAGGATGCTGCTGACATGTTGAATGAGGCTACTAGACTTGAAGAGAAGAAGCAAAAGGCTATGTCACTGTTCATATTTCTGCTCATGTATGCTAGTTTTTCGGAGTCAAGCAGTGCTTGTCTTCAGCTGCCTGCATCTGTTAGGTGGAGACTATTGCAGGATCAGAGGAGGATTCCAGTGCTGCAAGACTATTAAAGCCATTTCTTGTGTTTCTTGTAATTTTTCCATTCTTTGGTTCTTGTAATCTCCTGAATTCATGGAATAAAATTTCTCTTCATGTATTGGTTGAAGATGGTTCATGGCAGGAGTGAATGTGTATTGGTTGGTTGAACATGGTGCTTTGGTGTATTGGTTGAAGATGGTTCATGACATGAATGAATGCGTATTGATTGTTTGAACATTGTGCATGGTACTTGTCCAAGATAACAACTACACATTGAACACCATGAATCATATATAAGTGAGATAAATTTCATAAAAAATGAAAATGAGATCATGTACACAGGTGTTTCCAAAGGGATGGAAGATATTCTAAAATAAGAAAATAGAAGATCCACCATCCCCATAGCAAAAGAATACATTGTGCCCATTTCACATTTCAAAAGGATAAAAAAAAAATTGTCAAGATCAAGATAACAATCATCTTTGCAACCAACAAATCAGCCAAAAGATCAGAATCAACCAGCATTGTCCACCTCGATTCTCCTTATTAGAATAATCAACGACGTTGTCCAAGAAGTATGATTCAACATTTGCCCGAGCATTTTGTGAACTAATTGATGCTTGAGAAGACATGCTAGAGAATGGATTTGAGTGACTATAAGTTGATGCCCATTAGTAAGTAAATCAATTCATATGTGAATTTTGCTCATTTGATTGAGATACCTTCAAAACAAGCATTCAAAGACGTAAGATACAATTAAGAAAAAATAAGAATCCAAAATATCATAACCATAATGTTGGGGTTGTAATACCTTAGACCTATAGGAAGTTCCAGTTTTCCTCTTTGTTGGTTTCTCATGCCAGGGCTTCAGTCGACCCCAACCTTGTAACCACCATATTTCCTCTTCAAGCCAGCTACTCGTAGAATGTTAGGGTCAACATTTTCTACTCCTTTAGAGATAGAGATACTTTCTACTCCTTCATCACCATCATTATCCTACTCAGTACCAAGTGATGTATACATCATATCCATTTGTTTGAACAACTCATCAATACCGTAGTTCACCAACTGGTGTGCAAGCTTAAGGTTAGAACAACGAGCTGCCAAACGAACCATTCTAGGACATAGCTGTCTGTAATGTGATGCTGCCACCAACTTGGGATCCTCCTCATTTAGTGTGGCACTTGAATAAGGACTTGACTACTTTCTTGCATCTCGCCACCATCTCTATATTATGTATTGGTCAGGAATTAGCTTAATGTTCATCGTGTCTAGCACTTTAAGTGCATGACCACATAATATCCCAATCATTTCAAATTTTTGATAGCTACATAAAACTCTTTGCTTATTGACATTGATCAACACCATGCACTTTCTCTCTTCATCATATAATTCCACCACAAATTCATGACATCCATCAAACACATTGCAAGGATTCGCAATAGCACAATGGAATACATCATATTCATCTTGAAATAAATCAAAAATAAGAGGAGTGTAACATTGTGCTAATTGCACCAATATAGGAGTCTTTTCAATTGCATTCTAGGCAACTTTTGCCTAGCTTGATATTCCTTCTCTGTCTCCTTATATCTCTTATCAGTTAAAATACTATCAAAATGAGTAAAAAAGCGAACAATATCATAGTCTAGCTTTAAGTACTTTCATAATGTTGAGTTTAAGCTCTCACTTAGCTGAATGCTCCTCATAATAGCTGTGATAGTTCGCTTCAAATACACATGTGCCCATTTCTCTCTTAGTGCCCAAGTTGAATTCATCCAATTGTTATCGTGTAAATCATACTCATCAATCAACAATTTCCAAGCATCAACTAACTCATGCTCTTCCTCATATCCATACATGCACTCTTTAAATTGGGCTAAAAATTTTGAACCATCCTTATATATGTTTCCTAAATGCTTTAAAGCATTTTGGGAAAGGTGCCAACAGCATAGCCCATGATTTGTCTCTGGCATCACTATAGATATAACTTTAGCCATTACTTGATCTTGGTCAGTAAAAATTGTAACACGCTTCTTCCCAGACATTACTTGTAGGAATGTCTCAAACAACCACTGAAATGATGTTGCAGTTTCATCGTACAATAATGCAGCACCAAATATCACCATCTCCCTAAACTGGTTGAATCCAATCAAAATGCTTAAGGGTCGTTACTCCTTGTTTGTTTGGAATGTTGTGTCAAATGAGACAACATCCCCAAAGTGGCCATAATCAATAATCATACCTGGATTAGCCCAAAAAATATTTGTTATGCCCTCTTCGACATCTGTAACACCCCAAAACACACCCTGGATGACATTATATTCTAAAATCATTCATATCATGAGAGCACTAATAAAATTCCTTAAGAAACAAGACTTTGTTTGTCATCCACAAATATTTACAACATTATCCAAAAGAATAAGCTCAAGTCATGGCTATTACATCTCAAAAATTAATTAAAGAAGCGCAACAGAATAAATAAAAGAAGCTAGACTACACAATATTTCAAAAAAATGTCCTAGTCTAGTACAAAAGGAAATGATGTCGCTCTATGCGTCCACCTCGGGATCCACACTCCCGTCCAGTGGAATCTCCCAAGTAGCGGGCTCCTTGACCCTTATGTCCTCCTCCTGAAGCGGATAATCTGAAAAATATTAGCAATAAGGGGTGAGCACGAAGCTCTGTAGAAAAATTCTCCCACACTCATACAAGGTTTAGAAAAGCATTTAAAACGGTTGGTCTCAATTTTAACATAACATAGATGCATAATTTGAAGTAAAGCAGTGACATTTAAAACGGATCTCAAGTTTATTTAAAAACATTACTTAAATGAATAAACGAACACCACACACAAATAATAACCATTAATTATCATAATCAATTCCCAATAATTCTTTCGGTAGGTGGCATACTTTGTGGTAACCTCCACCCCCCTTTAGGTCACCTTTGATTCTCAATCATCCTTACCGGGAATCTCTTGAGAATGGATGAGCATCCTTACATCGAACCTCTCACCAATCACTACATTGTTTCCCAAGCATCCTTACCGGGAACTTCTTGAGAAGGGGTGAGCATTCTTACAAGGAACCTCTCACTCATGTGTATCACAAACAACCCAACCAAGCATACAATTCCAACATTTATCTCAATTTACAAGCATCTATCTAAAATCCCCAAAATATATCATGTAACAATTCCAAAATCAACTAAGAAAATACATGAGATCATAATAAACATCACTTTTCTACCCAACACAAAACACTAATGTTTCGAAATCCATAATAAAGAAAGCATTTAGGAAGGAAATACATCACTCTCCAAAAGTTAGGGTTTTAAAACTAGAAATGAGATTTCATGGGTATTAAACCCTACTTTGTTCAAAACATGTAATCCTTGCAAAAAGTCTAAGAGAGGATGATTCCATAGCATATATATATACCATTGATAGCCAAAAAATACATATATAAATACCCTAACCTCAATGTAAGTGAATGAGATAAAACCCTACCTTGAATCTTTAGTTTGTAGGAAGAATTTCAGCTTTGATCTTGAATCTACCCTTAAATCTCTTGTTTTTCCCTTCCTTTCTTTCTCTCTAATGCTCTCTAGGGTTCCAAGAGGTGTGGGGTGAGAGTGGAGTGAAAGAAATGAGGGCAAATGGGATGAAAATGGGGTTTAAACCACCTTAGCCCTGAAATTCACTGTTCACAGCCTGTTTTGGTTTTTTTTCCAAAATTACGGTTTTGTCACTAAGAATCTCCAATTTGATCCATATGACTACCCTAAGATTTTTCAACGTTCCGGATTCATTTTTAATGTTATTTTAACCTAAAAACATTTATTTTTATGATTTATCTCAAAACCAAAGTCAACGTACACCTGAAACACTAAAGTTTCTATTTTACCCATCCGAACCGGCTATTAATAAAGTTTTGCGTTGTTTGCAAATAAAAGGTGATTCTTAAAGCCTTTTATACTTATTTGAAGCCTAAATGTACTCATTATTCTTAAATTTTGATTTAGGATGCAAATGGAGACGTTAAATGCAAAATGAAGCTAATTGGACTGTTTTGACATTGCTTCGTTATCTGGGCATAACTCTCTCATCCGAGCTCCGATTGAGATGATTCAAGATGATATGGAATGATAAGAAAGAGATATAAAATTTTTATGTTTTGAGTTTTGAGAGATATGGACTGAATCAAGGTCTAAATCGGGCTTGAAGTTGCAGCCAGTGCACTGTTTAAGCTAATTGGGCTGTTTTGACATAACTTTGTTATCTGGGCATACCTCTCTCATCCGAGCTGCGATTGAGATGATTCAAGATGATATGGAATGATAAGAAAGTGATCTACAACTTTCATGTTTTGAAATTTGAGAGATATTGACTTCATCAAGGTCGAAATTGCACTTGAAGTGGCAGCCAGTGCACTGTTCACGTCATGTATCATCCCTTTTCCATTTTCAATCCGTTCCTAAGCCAACCAAACCCATCCCAAACCTCCCCAACACATATTTCTACACCAAAACTATTTAATACAAGTTCTAGGACCTAAAATTTCATAATTTCATTTATTAAAATCAAATTTCAACTATTATTTTCACTAACATTTTAAATCTCTACTTTTCCAATCTACCAAAGTCAAACACACATCACTACACATATCCAAATTTTTACCACAATTATTTACTATATATCTATATACATATATAAAAGAAAATGCGAGGTATTACAATCCACCCCCTTAAAGAAAGTTTCATCCTCGAAACTTACCTCAAGTAGCGAACAAATATGGATACTTCTCCCGCATTTCTTGCTCCGGTTCCCATGTAGCTTCCTCCACTCCATGGTGTTGCCACAAAACCTTCACCAATCTGATAACTTTGTTGCGAAGCACTTTTTCCTGGGCATCGAGAATTTCTACCGGTTGTTCTTCGTAGGTTGCTCCGTCTTGAATTTCAATCTCCTCCAAGTTCACCACTGGAGTTGCATCCGAGTGACACCTTCTCAACATGGACATGTGGAACA